TGACCAAATATGGACCAAATCCTTTCATTCCTACAGATAAAGGATTTTAAAGAATAATTTGCTATGTTTCCCCTATTGGGCCCTGCCCTTCAGGCCCCTGGTGAACCAGACCCATGGTTTATACAAAATTGGTTCCCGACTTCCCAAGGATGCTCCACACCAAATATGGAACAAATCCTTTCATTCCTACAGGAGAAGAAGGATTTTAAAGAATTTGCTATATTTCCCCTATTGGGTCCCGCCCCTCAGCCCCCAGGGGGGCCAAACCCACCATTTATACAAACTTTGTTCTCCTTCCCCCAAGGATGCTTCTGACCAAATATGGACCAAATCCTTTCATTCCTACAGAAGAAGAAGGATTTTAAAGAATAATTTGCTATATTTCCCCTATTAGGCCCCGCCCCTAAGCCCCCAGGGGCCAGACCCACCATTTATACAAAATTGCTTCTTCTTCACCCAAGGATGCTCCACACCAAATTTTGTTAAAATCTGCTCAGTGGTTCATGACTAGTAGTGTAAAGTTGACGGACGACGAACGCAGGACGACGGATTACGGACGCTGCGGTATGGCATAAGCTCACCTTGGTCCTTCGGACCAGGTGAGCTAAAAACTGAATATCTATTTACATAAAGCTAGATCATATTCTGAAAATATGCTGGTTAACGAAAGAGTAGCATGCTTCCATACCACAAAGTAATCTAAGATTCAATTAAACCCGTAATCATTGTAAACCTGTAAATCAGTGAGTATCGAATATCTTAGATATGAATGTATATATATTTAGATATACTGGATTTGCTAATGTATTGTGCTTACCTGAATCTGAACAGGTACTCAAAAACAACATGAGGCCCAGAGGGCCTGTATCGCTCACCTGGATACCTGTGATTAGACCCCAGGATCAATTTTAATATCATGACTGCATTGGTCTCTTTTTACCCAGCATTTGTATTTATAGTTTTGGGGTGGGGATCTCAACCGTTGCAAAGTTATGACCCAGGGGTTAAGTCTGCAAGGGTGGGGCAGACCCCAAGGCCATAATGGAAGCATACGTGCATTTATCTCTTTATACTCAGCAATTGTATATATGGTTATACAGTGGGGATCTCAAACATTTCCAAGTAATAAACATTTTTTTGGCCCAACCCCTTAGCCCGAGGGGTCAGCCCCGCCATTTGTACAATTTTGAATCCCTGCCTCCCATGAATGCTTCCAACCAAAAATGATTGATATCCATGGCATAGTTATGCAGAAGAAGTCGTTTATAGCAATATAGCCAAATTGCCCCCTTTTGGCCCCGCCCCTAAGCCCCCTGAAGAGTCAGCCCAACCATTTGTACAATTTTGAATCTCTACTGCCTAGGGATGCTTCCAGTCAAATATGATTGATATCCATTTGTTAGTTCCAGAGAAGAAGTCTCTTAAAGCGATATAGCCAAATTGCCCCCTTTCGGCCCCCGCCCCTCAGCCCTTTGGGGGGACAGCATCACCATTTGTACAATTTTGAATCCCTGCCTCCCATGGATGCTTTTGATCATTATGATTGATATCCAGTGCATAGTTCTACAGAAGAAGTCGTTTGTAGCAATGTAGCCAAATTGCCCCCTTTTGGCCCCGCCCCTAAGCCCCCTGAAGAGTCAGCCCAACCATTTGTACGATTTTGAATCTCTACTACCTAGGGATGCGTCCAGTCAAATATGATTGATATCCATTTGACTGGAAGCATCTCTACTACCTAGGGATGCTTCCAGTCAAATATGATTGATATCCATTTGTTAGTTCCAGAGAAGAAGTCGCTTAAAGCGATATAGCCAAATTGCCCCCTTTCGGCCCCCGCCCCTCAGCCCTTTGGGGGGACAGCATCACCATTTGTACAATTTTGAATCCCCACCACCTAGGATGCTTCCAGTAAAATTAAGTTAAATTCCAATAAGTGGTTAAGAAGAAGAAGTCGTTTAAAGAAATTGTAGACTTACGAACGACGGATGCCACAGTATGACATAAGCTCACCTTGGTCCTTTGGACCCGTTGAGCTAATAATCAGTATATCTTAATGTACCAGGAAAATTAATTTTTAGAATAATAACACATACATGCATATGAATGGCTAATGCATACAGAGCTCAATGTATACAAACATAAATGTAATGACTTAACTCACTTTGCTCTCTGCACCTCTGGAATATGTCATAGCAAAATTGAAGGCTCTGTGTGCATCGCCTTGTGGATGAGACAAGACGACTAGTTTGATCCTGTGATGTACATCAAAAGAATCTCGCGGTTCGTAACAATAATACTTATTGGCTTTAAAGTTGGGCATCGCACCTCTGTAATCTTCATAGGACAAGTATCAGCCTAGTGATTGGTCAGTTTTTTTTACCCGACACCAATCAAATAGTTAGCCAAGTGCCTTCAATTTTGCTATGACATATTTCAGGGGTGCAGAAAGCAAAAGTAAGCATCACCCCTGGATATCGAGGATGGACTTGATAATGATCATGGCACATTCTGTATTCAAAAATTTAGAATCAAAACAATCCTGTTCAAAAAATATAAAAAAATAGCACATTTCCTAAAATTATGTAAAAAGATTTGAGCAAATTTTGAAAAAATCTTGCAACAATTAGAAATACAACGTCAATTGATCACAACATTCATCAAAATAATCAATCTTTAAATTTATCTAGTAATTACATTGTATAAGTTAATTTTTTTCAGTTACAAAACAAAAATGTGTCTGACTATATAGCTCCCATATCAACAAGGTTTCTATGAAGCTGAAGGTCATTACTACTGACAAATCCTGCAATGTTACAGATCAATATATCCAACCAGAATGAACATTATTTTGATTTCTTAGTATCATATAGTATAGACATGCATATATTTGAAGTTGTTACAATAAACAAAATAAAATCGTGGAATAGAAGAAATCTCACTCCAATAGGTAAGATAACCATTATTAAAACATTGCTAATTTCACAATTTAATCATCTTTTTATAGCTCTTCCAAACCCACATGACTCTTATATAAAAAAAGTAAATAACATATTATACAAATTTTTGTGGTGCGGAAAAACTGATAAAGTTAAACGTGATGTTATAATTAAGTCATACGAACATGGTGGTTTGAAAATGATTCATTTAAAATCTTTCATAACAGCACTAAAGGCAACGTGGGTACGGAGGATCTATAAAGAAGATGCTAGTTGGACTTTAATTCCTGAAAACTACATGGATAAGTTCTCTTTAGCTAATTGTGGAATTCATAAATTAAAAATTACATGTGAAGAATGTAAAAATAAATTTTGGAAACACGTTTTAGAAGCATGGTATCAAACAATAGTGTCGTCCAATTTATATAGTGAAAAAATATGTGAAAATCCTTTGTGGTATAATCACAATATCCAAACAAACAATAAGACTGTTTTCTGTAAAGAGTGGTATAGAAAAGGAGTGCTTTTTATATATGATGTAATTAAAGAAGATGGTTCTTTTTATAATTTTGTAGAATTTCAACATAGATATGATATAAGGTCCAATTTTTTAACTTTTCATAGTATAATTAGTGCTATAAAACAGTTTATAAATAGTAAACAAGAAATCTTTGCTTTAGAAAAGAGTATTTGTTTACCTAATATACCTTTAAATCTTAATATTATATTAAGGAGGACTAAAGGGGCACAGGATATTTATGCTGTTTTATGCCGAAATGATACAAAACCCACGTCACAAAGGAAATGGTCTACGGTTTTTAACATTCAGGACAAATTATGGATAAAGATTTATGCATGTCCTTTTAAAACTACTGAAAGTACTAAATTAAGATGGCTTCAATACCGAATTAACCATAGAATCTTAACTACAAACACACTCCTACAAAAAATGGGAATAAAACAAAATTCAACTTGTACTTTTTGTAAAAGATTTCCAGAAACAATTGAACATCTATTTTGGGATTGTGGTAAAGTATGTGAAATTTTGAGAGAACTAAAACAATTGCTTGCAACCAGTAATATTGATTTGAATTTTGACAAACAGGAATTTATATTTGGACAATTCAGTTCAAAGGATGCTGATTTGATAGTGGATAATCTTATCCTATTATTGATTAAACAATACATTTTTAAAATGAAATGCCTAGAAATAGAACTCAATATAACAAGTTTAAAGAATCACATTCTTTTTGAACTTAAATCTCATAAGATATTGATAATTAAGCATAAAAACTGCAAAAATAATATAGTCTTGCTTAATAAAGTAGAAAAATGGCTTCTCTTATAAAATAATGTGAACAATTATCATTATACTATAAAGAAAAGTTTGCAATCCCCCCCCCCTGTGAGTGTGTATGTGTATATGTGTACTATGTGTACAGTATATAATTAGTCTCTTGTAAAGAGGTGTCCGTTGTGAAGGGAATTGTAATCAATGTAATGTATGCTTGTTGCTTTGTGTGTAAATGTGTTGTTTATAAAAAAGAAAAACTGAATAAAAAAAAAA